GATAAAGAGGGAGCTCCAGGAGTTTCAGCCAGCAAGAGGGAAGGCACAGCGATAATCAGGATGATACATGGCTTGGAGGTGAATTTGCAGGAGGTGGCATTGCCATCTATCTAGTGTCCTTGTCCTGTTGTGGGCTTGGAAAGCACTTTTTAAGCTTTTGTCAGTTTTGCAGTGCATCTCCAATTGGCATACACGATTGGCACTATGCTTTGATATGGTGGGAGTGAATGCTGAACATATTAGATGGGGTGTGAATCAAGTGGTCTGCATGTCCTGGATGGTGTAAGCATCTTGAATGTTGTTGGAACTGCAAATATCTAGGAAAGTAGAAAGACTTCCAGCATAGTCATGATTTGTGCCTTGTAGCTGGTGGGCGTGCTTTAATGAGTCAGGTGTTGTGTTGCTTACTATAGAATTCACAATCTCCAAACTGTTCCTGGGGCCAGAATATTACATGGCTTGTCCAGTTCAGGTTCTGGTCAATATTAACCCCTGGCATGTTGATAATGAAGGATTCACTGGTAGCAATGACATTTTTATGTCAAGGGCCAATGCTTGGATTCTCTCTCGATGGTCATTGCTTGGCACTTCCATAACGAATATTATTGCTACCCATCAGCCCAAACCTGAATGTTGTCCAGATCTTGCTGTAATTGAACAAGGATGGCTTCAGATTTATGGAGTCATGAATATTACTGAACACTATGTAATCATCAGACTACATCCCACTTCTAAGCTTATAATGGAGAGAAAGTCATTGATGAAGATGAAGATGCAGCTGAAGATGGTTGGGTGGGAACATTACCCTGAGGAATCCCTGCAGTAATGTCCTGTGGTTGAGATTGAACCATACAACCAAAACTGTGGGGTACAATTTAGAGAAAGTCATTATCAAACTGCTTGGTACTTTGTTCAGACTATACCTCATATATTGTGTTAAGTTCTGGTCACCAATGCAAAAGGGATACCTATGGATATCAGACATAGTGCAGAGATGAGCTGTATGACTGATCTTCAGTAAGAAATATTAGAAGTTTGAGTTATGAGCGGAATTTAGTTTCTCACCCTTTGAGAAAGGTATTCTTTCTGTACAAAAGAGTAAACTGTGTGAGTAAGTCAGAAACATAGATAAGCAAGACATGACAGCAGTAGAACAAACACTAATCCCAATCAGGCACATGAGGGCCGAGAATGATGTACACATTTTTTTCACACATGGTGGAAAGAGCACTTGATTAGTAGTAGAGGGAAAATCCTTACTGTCATTTAAAAGCCAGTTGGATGCTGCAATACAGGAAGTAGAGTGATTCTGCCTGGATGCACTAAGATGGGACGAACAGTCTGCCTCATCAGTAATTCTCCTGTCACCTTGTGCCATATAGCATATGACTATGATGTGAAGTCAGGTTGAAAAATTGCTTAATGCATTAATTGGATCCCCTAGACAGTTTGTCAGTGGACGCAGCATCGGCCTTAATGCTTCAGATAGCAGATACTTGTACTTCTTTCAAAATATTAAAGATTTGCTGGCATAGACTGTGTTCTCAGCAAGATTAGAAATGTGTTGTCTCCTGTAAGCAGACACCTCTCTTGAGTAAGTGTGGATTGTGTACTTAGTTATTACCAGGATTTGACTGTGACTGGTAGCCAGACAACAAAATGGCAAGCTGCAAATTATGCAGTGACTGGTCTCACTTCTAGTGCAACAGCACCAAATGTAAAGGGGCCCAAAAGTAGGTGACATTATTTGGGCCCTACCTTGAGTGCTGTGACTCTGTACACATGTAAATGTTTGCTGAGGGGAATCACTGGGCTTGATTTTAATAACAGTAGTATTTCCAAGCCAGCAGGAAGGGAAGGGGAGGGAGGTGAGGGGGATTTTGAACCATATACTGTGAAATATTAGCTGTACAACAAATTTTATTTTACAATCTTCCATTAGACTATTTGACAGTCTTAACTCCATGTGGGGTAGGCAGCACTCTGGAACAGGCTGTGGATACAGGTCAGGAAACAGAAACTAAGAACTCTGATTGTAGATTCAGTTTCCCATGGGAATGGGTGGGCTGGAGTATGTGCAATCTTAATGACATTCCAATCCCTGATTGATGAAATAACTCTTCAGAGGCTGACATCCAACTATTCTTTATTCACAAATGCATAGCCTTTGACAATAACACTGCCTCTCACTGAGTTAGGCATTCAGGGTCACTGTATCCCTGGCATTCATCCTTTTATGTCAGCCAGGGCTCCCTGATTGGGTCAGATTAACAGCCCCAATCAGGGAAATCCTATTCCACGGGGTCCAGATACAGTCACGACAGTTGGGATCTAATTATCCATCAGGGGGTGAAGCATTTGGATAGGAGTGGTGTTTCAATGCTAAAGAAGGAGTTTCTTGACCTTCAAGCACTGCCATAAAGGCAGATTGCTACACCTAATACTCCATGGAGCTGCTGAGTATCCCGAAGCCTGTAAAACCCAACTGGCCAGGACTAAACTTGTACTGGAAATTAGATGTAAGCCTCTCTACCTCATAATAGTAACTCATCAAACATCTCATTTCCTGAGTCCTGACACGAAACATCAACTTTCCTGCTCATCTGATGCTACCTGGCCTGTTGTTTTCCTCCAGCTCCACACTGTGTTATCCCATTTTCTGAGTGCCCTGTCTTACCTCAAAAAAGCTGGAAATGAATTGGTGAGGGTCAACTTTAAGATTTGCAACATTCTATGCTTCACCAGACTCTAACACGACAGTTTTTGGGTATAAAGATTTCCACCTTATTTTCATTGGTAGCGCAGTCAAGTTGACAGCAACTAGGATTACTCTGCACCAGGCATGTTAAATAAATTGGCCACATTTGGATTAAAGTATGGAGCCAGTAAACAATAGACAAAGACTGCACCCTTTATAATCTATCATTGTGATTTGTTGCCGGTTTATGTGGTACAATTATTGTAGAAACTCTAATTTTAAAGTGGAGTTAAATGGACATGTAGCTATATTTCTGGGAAAGTGATTTTTTTTTTAAAGTGTCAGAAACTCATTTTGTTTTCACACTGGATCAAAACAGTGATTCCAAGAAGTATGTAACTTAAGCTGAATGACTAGAAAGACACTGAATGAGATGATTGCTTAAGATTTTACTAATTTAAACTTTCACTATCTACAGTAAAAGAAATCAAAGGCCAGAAGCAAGCTTAGTTGAGAAGAAAAGATCCTTACCAGCAGGTGTGCTGTTTGACAGGCTTGCAGTGGTCAAAGTCAGGGACATATCAGTGAGTGAGCTTCTCTGTATGTCTCAGGGAGAGATGGAGACAATCACATCTGGTTAATATCTAGAAACTCACCAAAAAGACATGCTTGTGATCTCATCGGTTGAATGTGATCACAATGGAGGTGGTGCAGAGGAGATTCACCAGGATGTTGCCTGGGATGGAGCAGTTTAGATCGGAAGAGAGGCTAGATAAGCTTGGGGTGTTTTATTTGGAGCAGGGAATGCTGAGAGAGAACCTAATTCAGTTGTATTAGATTTTGAGGTACATGGACAGGGTAGATAGAAAGCAGCTATTCCCCTTAGTTGAAGAGTCAGTAACATGGGAGCAATTATTTTAAGGTGAAAGAAAGGTCTAGAAGGATTTGAGGAAAGCTTTTTCACCGAGAGGGTGATGGGAATCTGGAATGCACTGCCTGGAAGGGAAACCTTATAACCTTGGAGGCACTGTGAGTGTAAAAGCAGGAAGCTGGCAGCTGCACTGCAGATGTATCAAGAATGTAATTTGGACACGGCCTTCAGCATCAAGTCATATGAGGAAATTGAGAGGTTTTATTTCAGCTAGAAAAGTGGATCCAACACTTCCCACCTCATTTTCCTGCCACTAAATGTAATTCTTCCCAATTTAAAACAGACCATGAGAGAATCTCCCTCCCATTGACTCAAACACAGATTTTAGAGAGAAAAAAAACAGAAAGCACTGGTGAAACTGAACAGGTCTGGCAGTGTTTATAAAGAAAGAAACTAAGTTAACATTTTGAATCCAATATGACTCCTCTTCAAAAAGATTTTAGAGAGTGCTGAGGCTTTTCGTAACAGCCAGAGAGCTGCTCAAACACACAACTGACAGCTTTATAGTGAGCACATCACATTCTTTTAACATGTTAGATTTTATTTTTTATTTACATACGACACATAGATTGTAGTGATTGTAACCAGGTCAGCTAGGTGGATCACATAGAATTTGAGTCCCCTGATTGGAGCTGTTAATCTGGTCCAATGAGGGAGTCCTGATTGATATGAGTGTCAGGCATCCTGTTTACTTTGAGGGAGCTGGATCAGTGTCAAGGACTTTCCACATGTAAATAACGGGTGACTTGGTGGCGGGATACTGACCTCCGTGGAGTTATTTTAGAGACGAGACCATTTGCAAAAAGTGCTTGTAAATTATTGATTGGCTTTCCTTCCTTCTTCCACTTGGTGTTTCTTGTGACCAGGCTTTCAGGATTGGCTGTATCTCAGGAATCGTCAAACAAGCAGTTACACTTCAGTTGCTCTCCTCACAGCTGATTGGAGAATTCTCTACCCATCTGCTGCTGTTTACATCTGTGCAATCAGACATTAGGTGTGACTGGTTTAGAACAGGAAGTATAACAGTCACAAAGAGGAAGTGGCTAAATTGGAAGTGTACCTCGCAGCACAGGAAGATTGATTGTCACAGAAGGAAAAGTGTTGACAGTTACAACAGGAACTGTGGCAGATCAAGAAATAAACAGAAGAGGAAGTATGACAATTACAGATTAGCAACAATGTGCAGATTCCTATTGGTTTGTAAACCTATGGATTGATAGTAATAGTTCAACAATTGTGTGAGCAATTTACCTCGTGCATTACAGTAATTCCTACATTCACAGTCAGAATTTCTATCACTGCTGAACAGATGAGATCTGCAGCAAGTTTATTAGATGTGGATTACAGAAGGGACGAGCAGGTTCAGATTGATTATTTCTGGGAGCATTGCTCAGTATCTACATGCTGTTTGATTGAGGACACTAGAGAGCTCTGTTTCTCACAACATACACTGTTCTGGTCCACTGTATCGGTCTTTGAACTTAAGCGTATCTTCTTCACATAAATGTCCCTGATATTGACACATGGTAGACCTGCAGCCAACTTTCTTAGCTCTTGGTTGCGAATCACAACATCAATGGCTTGTTCTCGTCGATAATACTTTGAAAATCGGTTAAAAATGACACTAACTGGCAAAGCCACCATCAATAAGCCAAAGATGATGCAGGTGCTGCCAATGAGCTTTCCTTGTATTGTGACTGGGTAAGTGTCACCGTAACCAACAGTGGTCATGCTAATGGTTGCCCACCACCATCCAATGGGAATGCTGTGAAGACCAGTTTCTTTTTCATCTTTCTCTGATGAATAGATGAGGGCTGAGAAGATGGCAATACCCACAGTCAAGAACACAATCAAGAGCCCTACCTCTTCATAGCTGTGTCTGAAAGTAGCCCCAAGTGATCTCAATCCAATGGAGTGACGAGCCAACTTCAGGACCCGAAAGATACGCATCAACCGAAGCACTTGTACTACTCGGCCAATGTTCACCAGCTCTGAGCTCTCATCATCTATACGTTCTACTACCAGGGTGAGGTAGAATGGTAGAAATGACAAAAAGTCAATGATATTCAGTGGATTTTGGAGGAATTTGCAAATATATGGGGCGATCATTAACCTTGCTACATATTCAAAGCTAAACCATGCAATACAGGTAGATTCAACAATCAGGAAGCCAAGGCCTTCCTGTTGTTCCTGGAATTCAGGCAGACTATGAACACACATTGTCACAATGGAAAGCAAGACAATAGCTAACGAGGATATTGTAAAAGCCTTGGCTGCAAAGGAATATTCTGGATTCTCTAAAATGAGCCACAATTTTTCTCTCTGTTTGCCACACCACATACGCTTAAAACTCTCCATTTGTTGAGGGATGGTGCTGGCATCTTCAGAACCTGTTAAGCTCAAATCATCACTCTGTGTGTCAAATTCTTTCTCAACTATATTCTCTTTCCGTTCATGGTACTTGAACCTGCAGCAATGATGGATAGAGATCTCACCAATTCCCCAGTACTCAATCTCTTGGTTGAATGAGAATATACAAATCCCCTCCATCACATGAAGCTTGCCCGTGGAATAGAAATTCAAGACGTAGTGAAAGAAACTTGGATTTCTGTCAAAGTAATATTCATCTGTGTGCACATCGTAGTCATCACACAATTCAAGGGTGTCCTCCCTCGAGGAACATCTCAGTAGCTTTCCCAACCTGGTCTCTGGGAATTTTAACAATGCCTTTTGCTCGACTTTTTGTTTCAGGCCCCCAACATTAATATTGATCATCTCCAGGTATAGTCTGTCTCTGTGGTAGAACTGTCCATAAACCATGATCACCCCCACTGTGATAAATTGAGTTTAGAAATCCTCCTCAGAAAGTGGTGTGAGTTCAGAATCCTGTCTTTAAGAGCTCATCCTATAGAAGCTGGTGAAGTGGTTTCTTCCCAGGGCTTTGTGAAAGCAGATCCCAGCTTTTTCTAATTCTGTAAAAGCATCAACCATAAGAGAGTTCAGGAGAAACATATTCCACTGAGTGGCAAGAACAATCTATCCAACTGAAATTCAAAAATGTGTGGTTGAAAAGCCTTGGCTGTAAAGGAATATTTGGATTCTCTAAAATGAGCCACAATTTTTCACTCTGTTTGCCACACCACATACGCTTAAAACTCCCCATTTGTTGAGGGATGGTGCTGGCATCTTCAGAACCTTTTAAGCTCAAATCATCACTCTATGTGTCAAATTCTTTAGAACATAGAACACTACAGCACAGTACAGGCCCTTTGGCCCATGATGTTGTGCCGACCTATTATCCTACTAAGATCAATCTACACTGCATACCCTACATTTTACTATCCCCTATGTGCCTATCCAAAAGTCGCTTAAAAGTCTCTAAAGTATCTGACTCCACTACCACTGCTGGCAGCGCATTCCACACAGCCACCACTCTTTGTGTGAAGAACCTACCTCTGACATCTCCCCTATACCTTCCTCCAATCACCTTAAAATTATGCCCCTTCGTAATAGTCATTTCCGCCCTAGGAAAAAGATTTCTCAACTATATTCTCTTGAAATTAAGTTGAGCGGTATAATTAATTCTGAGGAGGGATGCAATAGCTTACAAGAAGTCATTAATAAACTTGCAGAATGGGCCTATTGATTTCAACAGAGTTAAGTGTGGGGTGTTACATTTTGATTGAAAAATAAAGAGGTCATGTATTATTTGTAGATTGGGTCGAGGAGCAAGGGGATCTGGGAGAACAATCAAAACAAAATAGCAATGCAGTTTAATCAAGATATTAAAACAAAACAAACTCCAATGTTTCTCGCTATTGGAGAAAATTGTAAAGAAGAGAAACTTGTGTCAAATCCTACTTAGACACATTTGGAGTGTTATGATTAATTCAAGTCATTATGTCACAAAAGAAGAGAAGAAGGTGAAAAATGGATTTGTAGGGCTGATAATATAATGGTGAGACTGGCCGTATTGGGGAGGATGAACAGACTGATAAATACCTTTTCTCCTGAAAAAGAAAAGGCTGAAGGTTGACCAAATAGGTGTACAAATGGGAAAAGTCTTGATAAAATACACACAGAGTGCGTTTTCACTTGTGGGGATGAGATTAACTAGAGGCCATCGAAATAAATTAGGCTCAAGGAACTGGACAAGTCTAGTGACTGATACCTAGACTGACCAGATCCTGTTAGCAAAGATTGAACAAGCTGAGCTTGTTTCTGCCTGTTTGAGAAGAGCGAGGGGTGACTTGGTTGAAGTGTGTAAGACAAAGGCATGACAAAGTGGACAGGGGAGGATACTTCCTCTTTGATGTTGATCCAAAACCAGGGGCTAGTGTTTAAAGTTAGTGGTCATCCTTTTAGGTCAAAGGTGAGGATTGTGTGCTTTTAGAATGCTCTGCCTCAGGAGGTGGTGGAGGTCATTGAATATTTTCACTGGTGGATGGATTCTTGTTAGGTACAGATTATTGGGGTAAATAGGAACGTGGAATTCAAAACACAAACAGATTAGCCAGGATCTTCAAATCGTCAAATCCCTATAGTGTAGAAACAGGCCCTTCAGCCCAACAAGCCCACACTGACCCTCACAGCATCCCACCCAGACCCATCCCCCTATAACCCACCTAATCTACACATCCCTGAAAACTGCGGGCAATTTAGCATGGCCAATCCACCAAGCCTGCACATCTTTGGTCTGTGGGAGGAAACCGGAGCACCCAGTGGAAAGCCATGCAGACACGGGGAGAATGTGCAAACTCCACACCGACAGTCACCTGAGGGTGGAATTGAATCTGGGTCCCTGGCACTGTGAAGCAGCAGTGCTAACCACTGAGCCACCGTGCCACCTTTATCTTATTGAATAATGGAGTAGGATCGGGCCAAATGGTCCACTCCTCCTATTTTGTTCAGTTGTATGTATGTAAGTCCAATAGGAAGTTAACCCACAGAGTAGTGAGAAAGTGGAATTCCTACCCTAGGGTGGTTGAGGTGAGTCGTATACATTAATACAAGGGGAAGCTGGACATGTAAATGAGGGAGAAGGGAATGCAGGATTATGCTGATTGAGATAAGGAAAGGTGAGAGGGCGTTTGAGCGCAGGACGAACTTGTTGGGCTGAACAGCCTGTTTGTTGCCTATTCAATGCTCTTCCCTGTACCCAACAAGGACACTGGGGAAATGGATGTTGGAGAGGTGGTCACGCTCTGAGAGACGAACCCAGCTGCAGCTCCCACAAAACCAAAGCCAAGACTGGGGCCTCAGCACTCCTCCTGATCTTTGTAAGAACACTGCTCAGGGTGAGATAATCGTCTTGGTAATTCTGTCATCAGTGCCACTCAGTCAGGCAGGTAGCTGTCTGAGCTTACATGATGCTTATTCAACTCCACAAAACCCATGATGTGGAGTTGAGGAGGGGTTTGTTGTGGGGGCTCATTCTGGTATTGATGGAACTGACTATCCTGTCACATTTGACAGAATCGTCTCTATTCTGACTGAAGACACAAGTTGGAACTGGACTTCCCCATGCATAAGATCATAAGAAATAGGAGTAGGAGTAGGCTATTTAACTTTCATGGTCCTTATTCCTGTCTGCCCCAAAATCTTGTAAATTGCTTGTTGATAAAAAAAAGTCAAATTTGAGTTTCTTCAAGAATCTAACCTTCATTGCTTTGTGGGGAACAGAATTCCACAGACTAATGACCCTCTAAGAGAAAAGAATTTTCTGTTTTCATCTTAAATTGGATGTTCCTTGTCTTTAAACTGTGTCCCCGAGTTTGAGACACAGTGAGACAATTTCTCAATCTGCTAAACCTGCTAGGTACTGATCTACCTGTCCAACAGTTCCTCATAAGACATCCAATTCATCTCAGAATTTAGTCAAGTGAACATTTGCTAAACTGTTTCTTTGAAACTATACCTTCCTTAAATAAGGATAGCAAAACTCTGGGTAGTCTTACCAATGCCTGAACAGCTGGAACAAGACAGAAGTTTACTGTATCCTCCTTGCCTTGGTAAAGGCCAACATACCATTACTTAATTAGAGATAGTAGGAACTGCCGATGCTGGAGAATCTGAGATAACAAGGTATAGAGCTGGACGAACACAGCAGTCCAAGCAGCATCAGAGGAGCAGGAAAGCTGATGTTTCGGGCCTGGACCCTTCTTCAGAAATGCTGAAGAAGGATCTAGACCTGAAACGTCAGCTTTCCTGCTCCTCTGATGCTGCTTGGCCTGTTGTGTTCATCCAACTCCACACCTTGTTATGCCATTACTTAATTACTTGCTTTAACATTTTTTTAATTCATTCAATAATGTGGACATCGCAGGCTGGGACAGCATTTATTTCTCATCCCAAAATGATACACACTACTGCTACTGAGCGTCTGTGGTGGAGGGAGTGGGTGCTTCTGGATATGATGCCTTGGAATGTGTCAAGACTTTTGAGTGCGCCCATCCAGGCAACTGGGGAGTATTCCATCATACTTCTTGTGCATTTTAGATGCTGCACAGTCAGGAGGTGAATTTATTGCTCCGAGATTCCTAGCTTTTGACCTGCTGTTGCAGCCACTGTGTTTGTGTAGCTAGTCCAATTCAGTTTCTGATCAATGATAACCCCTAAGGTGTTGATAATGAGGCATTTGAATTTCAAGGGGTGATAGTTAGATTCTCACTTTTTGGAGATGGTCATTGCCTGGCACTTGTGTGGCATGAATTATACTTGGAAGTTGTCCATTTCTTGCTGCATTTGGGTTTAGACTGGATAGACTATGTGAGGAATCATGAATGGTGCTAAACGTTGTTCCATCATCAGTGAAGATCCCCACCTCTGACCTGAGTCAATAAATATGGAGCTGGAAAAGCACAGCAGGTCAGACAGCATCTGAGGAGCAGGGAAGTCAATGTTTCGGGCTGAAACCCTTCATCAGGACTGGGGAAGGGGAGGTGAACCCAAGTGGCAAGACACCATAGCCTTTGCAGTATCCAATGCCTCCAACCAATTCTTCATATCACATGGAGTGAATCAATTTGGCTGAAGACTAGCACCTATGGTGTTGGGGACTTTTTAGAAGAGGCTGAGATAGTTCATCATGTGGCACTTCTGGCTGAAGATTGCTGTGAATACTTCAGCCTTATCTTTTGTGCTGATGTGCTGGGCTCTTCCCTTATTGAGGATGGTGTCTTGCCACTTGGGTGCTAGGGTCAAGGATGTCTCTGAGTGGTTGCAGAACATTCTGAAGGGAGAGACTGAACAGCCAGAGGTCATTGTGCACATTGGTACAAAGGGATGGAGTCCTGCAAAACGAGTGTAGGGAGTTAGGTAAGAAGTTAGTGATCAAGGGTAGTGATCTCTGGATTACTCCCAGTGCTATGAGCCAGTGAGGATAGAAATAGAAAGATACACCAGATAAATGAGGAGCTGGTGTAGGGGGCAGAGTTTTTAGTTCTTGGATCATTAGGATCTCTTCCGGAGTAGAGGTGACCTATACAATTGGGACAGGTTGTACTTGAACCGGAGGGGTTCTAGTATCCTTGTGGGGAGATTTGCTAGTGTTACCCGGGAGGGTTTAAACTAGTTTGATGGGGAGGTGGGGGGTAGGGGGGTGATGGGGGTGCGGTGCAGTGGGAAGCTGAATAAGAGCGGGGCCATTGAGAAATCAGGGAAAAAGACATTAGCCATCAAGAGCAAGTTTACTATTCAGGATAACCAGGGGCACAGTAAAGGGAGGGAAAAGATTTCTGGTTTAAAGTGTATTGATTTCAAAAGGCCTGACTGGTAAGGCAGATGTGCTCACAGCATAGATTGGCTCTGGGAACTGGGAT